AAGCCATGTGAAGGGGTTTGTAACATTTAGAAGAGGATACTGATATGGGCATAGTAGGTTTCTTCACTTAATGTTTTGACATCTCTGATAAAAACACAAGTACTGTGTGTTTATCTTCAATGCAAATTCTCTTAGTCAAGCAGCTTGTTTTTCAGTCCAGTCAAATTCATTCAAAGCAATGCCACTGATAGAGAGGCCAACTCTACCTCCAAGTTTGCTTTATACTGAGGTGAGAAATGCAAATTAACAAATACACACAGTTTGCAAATTTACTGCAAAATTCAACATAGATTTCAGATGAGCAGAGTCAAGGGGACATTTAGATTTCAGTTCCACAATAATAACGAAAACAACATTCCTTTGGTTTGTCCACTTTCAATGGATGTACTCCCAGCCAGGAAGGCATCAGCTGGCACCAAACTTTCAAAGACTGTTTTGACCTTTAACCACAACATTTTCCTGTTGGTAGGTTTGCAGTGGTGGCCAAGCCACTGCCCTTCTCCTCCAGACTCCCAGCAAGTTTCCTCCCTCTTAAATCTGAGCAACCAGGAAATTTCTTGAGCAGCTTCCCCCAGCCTTCAGACAGCAGTCTTCCTCTTTTTACCTTTCACTCAAACTTCAGTTATGAGGTTTTTGCACTGACTGAGCTGGAAATCCTTTACAACCCACTTCCACTGGAAACAGCCAATTAGTCCACCCTTTTTCCTGACAATCCTAAACCAGCTATTGATAAATGGATTTTGTCCTGTCATTTGGTCATGTCTGGTCTCAGATTGATATTTGGTCTTGAGGAGAGTATCTCACCTAAAAACTAGCATTACCTTCCCAGATCTACCTTTATTTCCCACCACACTGTGGCCTGCAGCATCTTTTGTGTAGACCCCCATGTTGGATAGGCCTATGCACCTCTTTTATAAAAACAGTGGAATTCTGTGGGGGCTTTGTCTGTTTCCTCTTCTCTCCTGTTCCAAAATATCAGCAAGCACTGACAACATATTGCCAGGGCACAATCAATATCTGCCATTCTGCACCCTAATTAGATGTGAGCCATGGTCCGTCAACATAACCTACAGAAAGGGTCTCCCCTCAATCCCTGCTTGTGCACGTTGACTGGAGATGGGAGGGTGTCATACACTGCTCTGAGTAAGGAGAAAACGGACTCAAGCTGCCACAGTGCAGTTTTTGACCTCCTAGGGAGTTTCCACTTTGTCCAGCTGCCCATCTATCAAGCAGTTGTGCTGATGTTGGGACAGTCTCTGGCTAGCTCTGTATTCAACTTAACTTACCTTGTCTCTTTCCTGATTAGAGCTAATGATTTAAGCCACCAGGGCTTGGCACTATGAGAGCTTAAAAGCCCAACCTCATAACTGCAGACTCTCTCATTCACCTGGCCTTTCTCCCAGCAATCACTTGCACTTTTAGCTCTGTTTGATTTTGCAGAACAACACCCCATGCTTCAACATGTCTCGCATCCACATTAGCATAACAGACTTAAGTAACAAACAAACTCCATATTAGCAGTGCCTTATTTTTTGTGTACTCTTTCTGTCTGAGTTTTACCTGTCTTAGTTCGTTGAGTTACTGTCATTTTCCACTGATGAGGAACATAAGGAAGTTGCACAGTGCCAAGTCCCAGCTGTCTCACTGATTTGTGGTTATTAATTAATGCACTCTTGGGTGTGCCACTTCATAGGTGTTGTGGCAGGATACCTCTCTTGTTGCCATATGTGGGGCAGCCACATGGTCATCCAAATCCACATTTTCCAAGTTCGCCAGCCTACGTGTGCTCTAAATCAGTCTTGCTTCTTGGGGACTGACTTCCACAGCCCCTCTGCCTCTCAGGCTTAGTCTTTGCATCTTGTCGGGTTTTGTCCAGATCGGAATTTTAACTGTGAACAGTTAATTAGTGTATTAGTTTTTGGCTGTTCTTTTCCCTCATAGGGTGTCTGAAAGAGTCACCAAATATATGCAATATATTGGGGCCAAGAGATAGTCTGGAGACAGTTAAGCACATGTGGACTACAGTTTTACCTTGGTTCTCTAAATGAAGAGACTCTATCTCCAGCCTGCAGGCCAATCGGGGGAAAGTTCTGATCCAACAATTAATGATTACATGCCAACACAGCTGCTTTATGGATGAGCAATAGGGTGTGCTTGCAATCCTTGGGGGTAGAGAGAGAGTCTCTGCACTCAGAGAACCCCGGGTTCAGTGTAACCCTGTGAAATAGACTCGACCTGCACCCTAGCACAGCAACAACTGTGCTATTGACAGAATAAAAGAACTTAAAGCCAAAGCCACTGACTAATTGCTTTATTTTGAAGATGACATTTGGTTAACACACAAGGAATAACATTTTCCACAACAGTCTGCTGGTGTTCAAAAGACTCAATAGGTAAAGACTCTCAGATTAGCTGGGTGTCACTCCTGCTGGGCTACAAGAAAATGAACCAAACTCCAAAAACAAGCAGTTTTTTTAAAACAGAGAAAACCCTAAAATTAACAGTTTTGTTTGCTGTATGAAAAAAAATCTGCTTCTGAATGACGTACGTATGGTTTTATTTTGCTGTCTCCATCAGATTATTTCTCTTCACAGAGTTTATGCAGTCAGCCAGACTGTTGTTTTTCTGAATGTTTCAGCCTTGCTGGTATTTGAGGTTGTAAAAGAGGTTAAATCATGAAGAGAGTCCTTTGGCACTAGGACTACATGTTATACAGTACATCCGGAAAGTATTCATACCACTTCACTTTTTCCAAATTTTTTTATGTTACAGCTTTATTCCATAATGGATTAAATTCCTTTTTCCCCTCAAAAATTCTACTCATAATACCCCATAATGACAAAGTGAAACACTTTTTTTTTAGAACATTTTGCAAATTTATCAAAAATAAGACACTCAAATATTGCATATACATAAGTATTCACACCCTTTGCTATAAAACTTAAAATTGAAGTCAGGTGCATCCTGTTTCCACTGATCAGCCTTGAAATGTTCCTCCAACTTGATTGCAGTCCACCTGTGGCAAATTCAGCTGATTGGACATGATTTGGAAAGCCACACCTGTCTATATAAGATCCCACAGCTGACAGAGCACGTCAGAGCACCAACCAAGCCATGAAGTCGAAAGAATTGTCTGTAGACTTCCGAAACAGGGTTGTATCGGCGCACAGATCTGGGGAAGGTTACAGAAAAATATCTGCTGCATTGAAGATCCCAAAAAGCACAGTGGTCTCCATCATTAAGAAATGGAAGACGTTTGGAACTACCAGGACTCTTCCTCGAGCTGGCCGCCCAGCCAAAATGAGCAAGCGGGGGGAGAAGGGCTTTGGTCAGGGAGGTGACCAAGAACCCAATGGTCACTTTGACAGAGCTCCAGCGTTCCTCTGAGGAGATGGGAGAACCCTACAGAAGGACCACCATCTCTGCAGCACTCCACCAGTCAGGCATTTATGGTAGAGTGGCCAGACAGAAGCTAGAAGGCACCTGAAGGACTCACAGACCAGGAGAAACAAAGTTCTCTGGTCTGATGAAATGAAGATCGAACTCTTTGGCCTGAATACCAAGCGTCATGTCTGGAGGAAACCAGACACCGCTCACCACCTCGCCAATACCATCCTTACAGTGAAGCATGGTGGTAGCAGCATCATGCTGTGGGGATGTTTTTCAGCGGCAGGAACTGGGAGACTTGTCAGGATCGAGGGAAAAATGAATGCAGCTAAGTACATCGAAATCCTTGATGAAAACCTAATCCAGAGCGCTCAAGACCTTCGACCGGGGCAACGCTTCATCTTCCAGCATGACAATGACCCTAAGCACACGGCCAAGAAGACAAAGGAGTGGCTTCAGGACAAGTCTCTGAATGTCCTTAAGTGGCCCAGCCAGAGCCCAGACTTGAACCCGATTGAACATCTTTGGAAAGACCTCAAAGTAGCTGTGCACCAACTCTGCCCATCCAACCTCACTGAGATGAGCGGACATGCAAGGAAGAATGGGGAAAACTCCCCAAATCCAGGTGTGCCAAGCTTGTTGCATCATACACAAGAAGACTGGAGGCTGTAATCCCTGCCAAATGTGCTTCTACCAAGTATTGAGTTAAGGGTGTGAATACTTAATTATATGCAACATTTGAGTGTTCTTATTTCTAATAAATTTGCAAAATGTACTAAAAAAAGTTTTTCACTTTGTCATTATGGGGTATTTTGTGTAGAATTTTTGAGAGAAAAAGGGACTTTAATCCATTTTGGAATAAGACTGTAACATAACAAAATGTGGAAAAAGTGAAGTTGTATGAATACTTTCCGGATGCACTGTATATGTCTTAATTATCACAATTTTGAGCTGCACATGTTCAGTAGTCTCATCACAAAGGGCGTGGTTTAAACCATGTAAAGCAGTTCAATCTTTTAATGCAAACAAGGGAGGCCAAATGCAAAGAAAATGCAAAGGAAAACTACATGTTACCACCTGCCTGTAAATGATAAAACATCCATTAGATACTTCTGCCGACACAGAAACCCTGATTAAATTTTTGAGGCAGATGCTCCGTTACACAAAACAGTCTTAGAAATTGTCATCTTGTTATCGGCATCATTCTTTTAAATAAACCTCATCTTTGTTGAATAAGCTGTAAACCGGTCTTAGTGTGGCAGCACTCTCAGTTGAAAATAGTTCATCCTTTGGAGCATTGCCATTCTAATCAATCACTGCTTGATCACACTCTAATCAGAGTGAAGAAAGATGGACTTTTGAGGAGGGGAGAAGACCACACCTGCTTTTTTTTATTATTATTATTTTTTTTTTTATTTAGGTAGACAGTGGTGTGTTTTTTTGAACATTTAGTGAAGAAGTTCTACCATTTGATGAAAAAAAAGGTTGTTTATATCATAACTATCAGACAAAATCAGATTTAAACAGAAATTTTAGATTAAGTAAGGAGAACTTGACTTTCTACAGACTGCAGTCTCTTTGAATCATTTGTGCTCCTGTTTGTGACACACATTCTAATCAGGCTGCTCTTCCCACTTTAAGGGGACTCCGCTTGGTCCATTCTCCTTGAGCCAGCTCTGGAGCTGGAAAAATAAATAGACACAATTTTAATTTAAATCTGTGTTTGTTAAAAGCAGCATTACTTTTACTCATGAAAATAGAAAGTAACTCAGACAAAGAAACAAAGAAATAATGAACAAAGTAAGTATTTAATGGAGTTTTTTTTCTTTTTATGCAGAGGCTCACCTCTCCAAGGATGTCTGCTCTCACAGCAGGATCACTTAGGTTCTTAGAGGGGTCCCCTGTCTTTATTTCCTGTGTTATCACTTGTTTTGCCAATTCTGTCCAGAAACAGAGAACAAAAACATGCCATGTAATAACTGTGAGAAACCAAAGTTTAACTGAAGGACAGTTAAGTCAGTTACCAGAGGTGTAGCACACAAATGGATGTTTTTCTTCACAGGGCAATGCCCACCATTGTCCTGATCTCCACACAACTGCAGCTCCACATACCACACTCATGGAGCCCAGTGATGTTGCACCATAATCCCAAAACTGGAAGGAGGAGTCACTTCCATCAGACCAGTGAAGGTTTGTATCTCTGTGCAAACCAATCCATGGGTAGTCGTCTTCTGGTATTAAGCTCTGCAGCCTCTGGTTCTCTGTGCTGTTCCTCACAGTGGCAAGGTCTTTGTAGTTGTCCCTGCAGAACCTCTGAGCTTCAGACCAAATCTTTTCCTCCTTGACAAAAACATACCCAGAATCCTGTGGTGTATCTGCAGTTGAAGTTTTAAAACTGATGAAATGATCAATGAACAATAAACTTTGTAAACCTGGCAGTACCCTTTCAGTGGGGCATGTATGAACCTTCTTTTGAACCTGGTGGCCAACTCTAATGCTGAGCCAAAATCATAAAGTAAGCTGTGTTTTATCAGAAGATGGACGTGTGTAGAAACATCTATTTAGTCAGTGTGCTATTCTAGGCCAGCCCAGTCCAAAAAGGCCGTTGTTGTTCTCTATCTCTTACCTGTGTTACAAACGAAGTGCAGCTCTTGATAGCAGTTATCATCCCACCATCTTCCATCATGTGTAACATCCACACATAACTGACTGACTAAAGCAAAGTCAGGTTCATTGTTCTTTATATTTTGCCAGTTCATGTATTCATCCCCACTTGCTGTGTAGCCATCTGACCATTTCCATTCAATCATACTGGACACACCTATCCAGAAGGAAGAGTCGTAACCATAAGATGAAACTGTGGCTATGAGTTGGTTCATTTCTTCAGTGTTTTTGACTGTAACCAGGTCTGTGTAAGTCTCTCTGCAGAAGGTCTGCGCATTTGTCCAGGTCTTAGCTTCAGAAACAAAGTGGTACTGATGGGGAAGGCAGGCAGTGAGGTGCCAGTCTGTGAGTTAAGCACATATTACAAAGAGCTGAGATGTTTTACCATTTTAACATTTGTCTCCAGCTATTTTGTTCAGAAACAGTGAACACAAACATGCCATGTAATAACTGTGATATACCAAAGTTTAACAGAAGGACAGTTAAGTCACTTACCAGAGGTGTGGCACACAAATGGGTATTTTTTTACACAGGGCAGTGCCCACCATTTCCCTTCTCTCCACATAGATGCAGCTCCACATATCACAGGCAAGAAGCCCAGTGGGTTTCCTCCACTTTCCCAGTGTGGAAGTGTGGAGTAGGTCCCATCAGACCAGTGAAGGTTGGGAGCTCTGTACAAACCAATCCATGCCCATTCTGAGTTTGGCCGTGTGTCGTGAAGCCTCTGGTTCTCTGTGCTGTTCCTTACAGTTGCCAGGTCTACGTAGTTCTCCCTGCAGAACCTCTGAGCATCAAACCAACTTTTTTTCTCCTCAACAAAAACAAACTCAGCATTCTGTGGTGTACCTGCAGTGAGAGTTAAAAAAATGAGGACATGTTTCATTCAAAGTTATCTTCTTAAAAATCTGTTGGAAAGTGGCAGTATTTCCTGACAGAGATGCGACTATCATTTACTTCACACCTGACCGGCCAGTTCAAGTGGCATTAAATTAAATATATATATATATAGTATATATACCATAAATTGGTAGTTGTCTTTCCGGAGGATAGACTTAAATCAACTACTCAGGCTGTATAAGTGTGGGCTCTATTTGGTCCCACTGGATTTTGCACTTACATTGCTCAGCACCGTCTTGCACTTACAGTGTGTACAACCCTCCATACCAAATTTGTTCAAGTTTTTTTTCTATTAGTGGTAGAACAATACAGTTTTTTTTTTTTGTTGTTGTTTTTTTTAACAGCTTCCACCAATACTGATAATTTCAGAGGAGATTGGCTAGTTGAAGATGTATCAAGCTGATATCATACTGCCAATGTTTTGCATTTTATAAGATATAACAATGAAACAGTAATGAAAGCCATTACTCTATGAAAATTGCTATCTAACATACATGACTATCTTAGCTGGGCACACGTCTCGCATGAGTTTTAAATACTTTCACAAAATAGAAAAATACACTGAGCTCTTATACAGACATATGACATATTTATATCAAACACTGGTCAGCAGTCGTTAGTTTTAACTTCTGTTTTCATTCAAGGGAATGCTGATGTTGCTTGGCAGTGCTTTCCTTGTCAGCGCTTCCTGCAGTGTCTACAGACATGATATGTTCATGTTTTCAGTTGGACTAATGAGTCCAGATATCAGAAGATGCTGATCATTTCAAAATGCAGTTGGTCGGCCTCATTAGTCACCCCAATCAATTGGTCTACCTGTGCTTTACTTAGATTTTGTATCCTTTTAAAGGTTCCTTGACAGTAATAGAATTTCTATGAAAAAGCTGTTTACTTATTTCCATCTGTATGTTGCTATTTTGACTCATATATTTCTATTTTTATTTGGATTGTTAATCTGTGGTCATTAATTTGGCACTAAAACACCCAAACACCATGACAGAGTCCTTGTTTGTGCAAACCCTTTTGGTAATAAACCTATCTCTGATCCCTGGTCCATTAAACAAGTCTTGACTCACCCTTATTTTGAACCCTTACCTGTGTAACAAACGAAGTGCAGCTCATCAAGGCAATTCGCATCCCACCATTTTCCATAATCTTCAATATCTCCACAGAACTGTGCACCTGAACGAAAGTCAGGTTCATCGTCATCAATATTTTCCCAGTTCATGTATTGATTCCCACTTGCTGTGTAGCCATCTGACCATTTCCAGTCAATCTTAGTGTACAGACCGATCCAAACCAAATTGTTGTAACCATGAGATGAAACTGTGGCTATGAGCTGGTTCATTTCTTCAGTGTTTTTGGCGGTGGCCAGGTCTGTATATTTCTCTCTGCAGATGGCCTGAGCTTTAGTCCAGGTCTCAGCTTCAGAAACAAAGTGGTACTGATAAGCAGGGCAGGAGATGAAGTGCCAGCCTGTGAGGAGAACATATATGACTAAAGGCTGAAATGTTTTATCATTGCAACATCACAAAGCTGTCATGTTTTATTTCTGTATTTCCCAGTGTTCTAGAATCATTTCGATTTGTTTATAAACCAATCTGCTGAAATACACATCTTGCCCCAAAAAAGCCGCCCTCCCCTAATTTAAACATCTAAAAAAATCTCTGCCCATGAACTGGAGACTGCTGTGAATGGTGTGTCTCTCTTGATCAGGTTAATAAGTAGACATCACTAGGGCCCTGTAGCAGTGAAATACAATGCAATGTTAAAACTATAAAATCTTATGGTTTTAAATGATTTAATGAACAGAGGCAGGATTAACTGAGACAAATCTTAAGTGCTGAAAAAAAAGCAAAGTATCATCTCTCAATAAATATGATTAATGTGGTGAACTAATACTGGTTGGCTGTGAGTATTACTCTGTGGTGGAAACCACTGAGTGGATTTAAAATCACTTTTAGAACACATTGTATATGATCAGAATTTGTGACTGCATCCACTGATGCAGGTTAAGACCGCACCATATAAAGAAGAACCAGAATAATATGAACTTCTCTGGGCCTGAGTCACTTTGAGATGGTGAAGGTGGGAAACTGTGCTGTGACCTGAGAAATCAAAGTTTTCTTTCATTCTCTCTGGAAATCTTGGACACTGCATCTTTCCTCTAAAGCTATTATTTAGTGTACCGTTCAAGATTCAGCATCTCTGATGGTATGGGTATTTGTGGGTACCGATGACATGCTCTTTACCACATCTCGAATATTCGTTTTGGAATTCATGGATGCATCCTTCCCTTCAAAGAAGAGTGGGACAATCTGGCTTGTGATCAGCACACAGGTCAAAGCCAGCTTCCCTGATTGTATGGGGACCGAAAGTGTCAACAGCACAGGTAGCATCCACACCTGTAAAGGCTCCATTAATGCTGAACAATATGAATGAGTATAGGAACAGCATATGCTGTCATCAGGACAATGACTTTTTCAGGGAAGATCTCAAATGGTATACCAAGAAGATACAAAGCTTCAGTACATTTTGCACACATGGCACATGGATTCTGTGGTAGGAGAATCTGCATGCATAACTGGCCTGCCTGCAGTCATCCACCGAAAACCATCATGGTGCATCACGAATGAAATAACAAACAAAGGAGACCTGAACTATTGCAGGTTCCCAGTTTTTAACAGTGTTGTGAGGGGAACAGGTGATGCAACAAAAAGCTTAACATGCACCTGTTCTAATTTATGTGAACCATTTCATCAAAGTAAGTTCAATCATCAGTTTTCTTTCTTTTTTTTTTCTTTTTTAGCAGAACCAGAGTCATCTGATGAAGTAGAAGGTTTACTGACCTGAGAGGCACAAGAGACCCAGCAAGATCCTCTCCATTCTGGTGGTGCTCTGTGGACTGTCAGTGTGCTGACCTTAAAGGAACATTTAATGTGGAAGATAGTGACAAAGGTTGACAGGCAAATCAAGTGAAATTCAATACCAGCTTCTGGTGTCTGTCCCTGACCCGCTTTACTGCCTTCTCACCCTCTTAATACAAGTTTTTTTTAATTAAAGATGTAATGAAATTGTTGATAAAGGCAGTAAAACTCTGAACTCACACAGGTAAGGCCCTTACATATAGAGATCACTGATACTGACGGGGTGAAAAAAGCCTGCATCTCAATAGCAGATTAATCTTTACCATTCATCTATGTGGATATATACTGTAAGTCACTGAAGGCCTATTTCATACTCAAACAAATCACTGAAGTGTGCAGTGCTGAGTATTTACAGGTGGGACATGGGTGAGACTCACTGGTAACCAGGGTGTTGTATTTTAAAGGCCAGTGCTTCCAGGTGAACAAATGTAGGTTGTGTTCAGAGATTCTTAAAACTCTGATATAAAGTCATACTTGGGGGGGATAAACAGAGTTGTGCTTAAAGAGTCAGGCCGTTGATATATAAACCTAAAGTTTTCAGAATTGTGTGGATGCTTCTGTGTTTTGTTTATCTACAATGGAAGGGGTACTTTGCAAATCTATCATTTAAGACAGGTGCATTGGAGAGCAAGATTTCCTGCAAATTATTAAAAGGGAAACACACGCACACTATTGAACTTACAGAAAATGATACAGAATGCTGCTTCTCTATGTTTCTTATACGCCATAGTCGAGGCAAACCTCAAAACTCAGATTTGTACTCCCAAGATGGCCACCCATGGGACATTCAAGATGGCCGCCCCTTGGTATACCTAAAATGGCCGCCCTGTACACCAAAGATGGCCGACCTTTGGGTGTCGGCTGATTAGGAACACCTGAAAAGCTGGTTGAGTTGTGGCAGAGAACAAAAGAGCAAACAACTTCAAGCAGAAGCAGCTCCACAAAAAGGACAAAGAATCAAGTTCTACTCAACTATACAAGTTCCATGACGCTAATGGTCGGTAGTCTTTTCACTTACCTTGCGTGTTTGAAATGTGTTAGAGATGCTGCTTGTTAAGTGCTACTGTTAAAATGTATTGTGGGAAAAGGCAGTATTGCATTGCAGCAACATTTGCTTTAAGTTTAAGTACTTATATGTTGGTAGAACTTTATTTGAAAAGGCCCTAATTTATTTTGCTTATTTGCTTAAAAAGGTCTAAGTTAAAAGTTTAAAATTTACTTACCTTGGAATTTACTTACCTTTTAACAATTTAAAAGTTTAGTTTAATCTAAAGACAATTTAAAATGCTTAAACATATCATTTAAAGTTTAAACTCAATGTACAAAAGTTACGAAAACAATTGAATGTTTAACTTGATAAGCTGCCTTAAAACACTTAGTTTAAATATATTAATTGGTTAAAACATTGGTTAATTAACTAAAAATGTTCTAATGTGTTTAAATTAATGGCAACATTTAAAAATTTAATTATTGAATTATTAAAAGTGATTTATTCTTTGATATGGCATGTTGCTAATTGTTGTTTCTGTCTTGAAGGTTTACAACCTGATGAAAAAGAACAACCAATCAACATCAAAGAGCCAAATGAAAAGTGGAAAATAAAAAAGCTGATTGAGTTGGAAATCGAGTTGTCCTGGGTCATTTGGAACTGAAAACTGTGGGGACTTGACAGCCATTTTAGGTATTTCAAGCAGGTCAGCACTGGATGACCTGAGAGAGCGGTTTGGAACATATCTGGGTAGACAGTCAACTAGGTAGGAGGGTGCCCGACCATTAAGAGCTTTATAAACAAGTAAAAGAATTTTAAAATCAATTCTAAAAACAACCGGAAGCCAGTACAGTGACGCTAGAACTGGAGTAATATGTTCTCTCATCTTGGTTTTAGTTAAGACTCTGGCTGCGGCATTTTGAACAAGTTGTAACCTGTCTGTAGTTTTCTTTGGCAGGCCAGAGAGGAGTGCGTTACAGTAATCAAGCCGGGAGAAAACGAAGGCATGGATCAATGTTTTGGCGTCGTCGAGTGACAGATAAGCTCTAATGCATGCAATATTTCTAAGATGAAAAAAGGCAGTTTTGGTAACATGACTAATGTGTGTATTGAAGTTCAATTTCGAATCGATTATAACCCCCAAGTTCTTTACTGTATTGTTACTTTCAACAGTCAGGTTACCTAGTCTACTCCTTATTGATTCCCTCTGCTCATTAGTACCACCAATTGTAAGGATTTCAGTTTTATCCTCATTTAGTTTAAAAAAATTGTCAGTCATCCACCATTTGATGCTAGCTAGACAGGACAGCAGGCAGTCTAAAGCACTTGGATCATCTGGTGCTACAGAGAGGTACAGCTGGGTATCATTAGCATAAAAGTGGAAGTTCACACCATGATTACCGATAAGTTCTCCCAGTGGCAATATATATAAAGAAAACAATAGTGGACCAAGGATTGAGCTCTGAGGAACACCAGAACAAATGTCATACTTGTCTGAGTAAAACTCAGCTAGACTGACAGAAAAGCTTCTGCCTTTTAAGTAAGAGCGGAACCAGGACAGGGCCACACCTGATACCCCAACCCAGTACTCCAGACGATGTAATAAAATATCATGGTCAATTGTGTCGAATGCAGCCGTTAAGTCAAGTAGTAGGAGAACAGATACATTTTTCTTGTCAGATGCCACCCTAAGGTCATTGACCACCTTTAAAAGAGCCGTTTTCATGCTGTGACCTTTTCTGAAGCCAGACTGGAATTTGTTATGTCTATCATTATTCTGTAAAAAAAACTTCCAACCATTAAAAACAACTTTTTCTAAAATTTTTCCCACAAAGGGAAGATTAGAAATGGGTCTATAGTTACATAGTACAGAAGGATCAAGGTTGTGTTTCTTGAGTAAGCGCCTAACTATCGCCCTTTTAAGGGGGTCAGGAAAGACACCAGAATGTAGGGAGCAGTTTAAAATCTTTACGATATCACTAATCACACTGTCCAAGACTTCTTTGAGAAAAGGTGTAGGGATTACATCCAGTGAGCAGGATGATGAGGTCATCTGTGATATGATTTTGCAGAGTTCTTCATTAACTGCACAGAATGACTTAAGGCTACCCCTAGAGGGATCTACACTTGTAAACACCTGATGCTCACAGTAAGGGTGTTCATGCCAGCAGCAGCACTCGTAATATCAGCTCGCATATTTGAGAATTTGTTATCAAAAAAGGATGCAAACTCGTTACATTTAACTTTAGAAGCAGGGAGTGTTTGTATAATTGCGGGGGTTTAAAACGTGTTCAATGGTGGAAAAGAGAACTCTCGAATTTCCCTTGTTCTCGTTTATAATCTCAGAAAAATATTCCCGCCTTGCCAGACGCCGGGCTCTCTCATAGGCAACCGTTGATTTCTTAAGAATCTCTTCATGAACAGTTAGTTTGCTTTTCCTCCAAACTCTCTGCTCTGCGACATTCTCATTTGAGTGAGCGGGTGTGTTCGTTGAGCCATGGTGTTGCTGCAGAGTTATTTTTCTTTTTGATTTTGTAAGGAGCCACTATGTCTAGGGCCGACTCTAATTTGACATCAAAATAGTGAACCAGATCATTCACCGAGGAAGCATTGGGCAGGGGATTTGCACTTGCTAGATGAAGGGGAAAGTCATTGCCTGCCGATTGGGTGAAACAACAGTTTTTCATAATGTGTTCTGAATTGTCTTTATCCAAGTCTGAGACAGTCATGTTAAAACACAACACAGTGATCTGATAGTTCGGGTCTATCAATTATCTAGTCAACAGAGGTCCTGTTTACATGGGTCCAAAAATCCCATTTACAATCAGATTGAAAGGTCAATCAGATTCAAAATGTCTCATATAAACACCTTAGCCAATCTTATTCACCCGGATCTGATTGTATTTCGGGTCAGATTGTAAGAGGTAGTCTACACCGATTGATAATCCGCTCCATGCTCCATATGTACGGCTGACTGGAATGGATTGGGTTTACAGAGAGGCTTGTTCGGTCTGCACAGGCGCTCGGTAGTATGTAAGAGGCACATAGTGACGTATGCATCGCGCGCCCAAATGAAAACAAACATGGCGAACAAACAGAAAAACTGGACGGTGGAGTGTTAAAGTGAGTTGTTTCGTGCGACTGACGAAGCGTACACTTCTTGCTGTGTAACGCGGCTGGATCAGATTCACTTAATCCGATTGATTTCAATCAGATTGAGGAAAACTACCCATGTAAACAGGGCCAGTGATAGTCAGACCTCTGGATATCACTAAGTCCAGAGTGTGGCCAAGCTTGTGTGTCGGCCCAAAATAAAATCTGTGTTCTGAAGAGGGAGGCTGAAGTCAGGACGTGCCTGATGGGAACTCTTCCCTCTCCTGCTGTGGGGACCAACCCACGACCATAGCTCGGATGAGCTGACCAGCCACTTGGGCTTAGCCCCGAACCGGGCCCAGGAGTCATCGAAGATGGGGAGTGGAGTAGCAGCGGGACCGTGAGCGGTGACAGGCTCAGGAGGAGATGCTGATTCTCCGGCAGGACTGTGAGTGGTGACAGCAGGTTCTGGAGTAGAGGTGAACACAGCAGCAGCAGTAGGAGCGGTGGAATCTGGCTCCAGACCACTACTTGTGTCAGATTATGCTGGTTTGAAGAGTATCCGGTGCCGGTATCGAGATGTTTCTCGAGATGTTTCTCGGCTTCCTGGATCTTGTAGAGAGTGGAGATTCTTCCTTCCAGCTCCAGGATCTTCACAGCCAGGCTGGCACAGCTGACAAAGCCAGATGGAGTGGAGGCATGTTGTGGGTGAGGTGGCTGGGGGAAAAGGCAGAGACAGTAAGGCTTCACAATATGACGATATGTTTCGTCTAAACGATAGAAAATTTCTATCGGGATATATGAGCTCTATTGTTTCTATCGCGGTGTCACAAAAACACGCTTTACGGCAGTGTTTTACATCGTGACGCTCCATATATGGCATGCCCACACATGCTACTGCCACTGGGAAGAAAAAACAAGCATGGAGGAGCCGGGTGATTGTGGGGAAATAGAGGACAATTCTCGTGCATCAAATATTTACGAGCTAACACAGATGGAGGAGCTGCTGCCCAAACGGGGGGCCATGTCGGTTGTGTGGTCATGGTTTGGGTTTAAAAGGAGCGATACGGAGCAGACTACTGTAGTTTGTAAAGTTTGTCGCCGCCATGTCGCTACAACTGATTCAAACACAACGAACCTCTTTTATCATTTGCGGAAAAACCATGAAAAAGAATATGATGAAAGTCGGCGTTTGAAGGCAGCTAAGGCTAACACTGACCAGTCCACCTCCGCCGTCACTACACGGAAGAAAAACGACAGCGAGACGGAGACGCAGCAGCAGACTTTGGCTGAGGCGTATAGCCGTGGAACACCGTACCCAAAGTTCTCCCAATGGTGGAAAGAAATGACCAATACCATAGCTGAGATGATATGCATCGATATGGTCCCTATCAGCAAAGTAGCGAAAAGGGGCTTTACTGCAGTGATGCGTAAAGCCGACCCTCGGTATATATTACCTAGCCGTAACAAGATGAATAAAGTCATCAATGAGATCTATGATGATAAAGTGGCCAAAGTAGAGTCGGAGATCCACAAAGGAATGCATTATGCAACAACAACAAGACATGTGGTCATCCCGGACAACGGATCCCTATATGAGCCTCACGATACATTTCATAGACCTACATTGGAACCTCAGAAGTCGCTGTTTACAGACGATTCATTTTCCAAGTGAGTGCTATGTACCCCGTCCTGACAACATTACATGACTAATTCATGAAATTCGGTTGTTTCCTCCTTGTAGTGGTTAAATGCATGGAACATGTACAGTACTGCAGGGTTTCTCAAAGTGGATTCCAGACAGGGACTCTCTGGGTTCATTTATGGTGGTCTAAATTGAGTCGTACATGTCAGTAATCTGACAGTGTACAAAAGGAACCAAATGGATCCGTTTTGGGCCCATTTGGTTCCATTTGTACAGTGTCAGAGTGAAGGGGAGACCTTGGAATTTAAAAGTTTGAGAACCACTGATGTAGGCCCACTGTACTGTGTGGCACTGTACAGTAAATTCAATTTCCTAACTTTGCTTGGGGAACTTTGCTCTGAGTCTAATGGTCATAACATCCTGATGTGAAAGCTAATATTTCCAAAGAAAATAAAGGTTGGTTGTTATGTACAGCTTATCAACAATCAAAATCAGTTGGAAACATTACATTGTGTCAATTTGTGTTAAATATTTTTGCATTCTTAATTTTCACACAGCACACTATCAAGAAAATGAAAAATGTGAACAAAAAGGTTGCTGATCTTGTGTAAACTGTACTGTATCATTCTATTTCCTTACAAGATAGTAATTGCAATCAATTCAATCAATCACAGAGGACCACACTGGAGAAAATATAGCCGGCGGTCTCAACGATGCTCTTGAGACGTGGGGACTGGATGAGGACCACTGACAATGCCAGTAACAACATCCTTGCTCTCCAGTTGAACGATATGCTGCGCCTTCAGTGCTTTGGGCATCGGCTCCATCTGGCTGTTGGTGAGTCGTGAGTGTCTTAGTTGGAATCAGTATAAAATGCATATTATTTCAGTACAGTAATACTGTAGACTCTACAGTATTACTGTACTGTAATATGCATATTTAGATTTATTGTTATCAACGGCACACTGAGGCTTTTAAAGTTATTGTAGTAACAGCCATAATGGCAATTCTCCTGAATTATAATTTCTTAGCATAGAAAAAGCTAGTTAAAAAGGTAAAAATACTGAGTATTTGTCACCTAGTGTGAACAGTAGACCTCTACAAAACATAAATACAATAAATAAATACATTTAATTTTTTAATATGTTTTACTTTTCTATACACTGAAATATATAGGCAAGAGTATAAAATGTTACATTTACTTCTCATTACACAGAGCACAGTTTGAAACTGCCCCAGGTGGAACGAGCTGACGGCCTCTGCAAGAAGATTGTGGCTGCATTCGGCAATTCACACAAGAGAAAGAAACAGTTGGAAAGGGCACAAGCTGCACAAAATCCACCCTTGCCCGCTCATCAGCTGATCTCAGAATGCCCTACAAGGTGGGGCTCTATGCAAGCGATGGTTGAAAGATTGATCGAGCAGGAGAAAGCCGTCTCACAGGTCCTCCGTACCAGCAAGAAAACACATCACCTGGTCCCAACTTGGCAGGACATGGATGTTCTGGAGTCCGTGAACAAGGCACTGAGTCCTATCAAGGACTTTACAGATGCCTTGTCTGGGGAGCGCTACCCGACTGTCTACACCGACATACTCAAGAATAAGGCTGAGGACACAGATCTCACCAAGATCATCAAAGAGGGCATACTAAAATACCTAAATGAGAAGTATGCTGACCCGACAACCAATGACCTGCTCGACTTGGCTTCTCTTGTTGACCCTCGTTTCAAAACCACATACATCGAGGAAGACAGGGTCGACTACATCAAAACAAGAGCTGCTGCAGAGCTGCAGAAGCTAGCAGCCGAACAGCAAGCAGCCCTCCCTCCATCAGCTGCGCCTGCTGCTGCCAGAGATCAGGATAAGCCTGAGGTCAGTGATGTGGTTCCTGCTAAGAAGCAAAAGAGAAGTTTGAGCAGTTACTTTAAAAAAGCAGAAAATCAAACAGAAGCACCCACCCCTCAGTCAAACAGAGAATACGCTGAAAATGAGCTCAACCGCAATCTCCATAGCTATGTGGAACATGGTAAAGAAACAGATCCACTTGAATGGTGGAAGCAGCATGAGAAGCGTTTTCCCCTAATGGTCAAGCTAGCAAGGAAATATCTTTGCATCCCTGCCACAAGTTGCCCGTCAGAGCGGGCTTTCAGTACATCTGGGAACATAGTGACATGCCATAGGACATCACTCAAACCATCAAGAGTCAACCAGCTTGTATTCCTAGCACTTAACCTGTAGAACAGTAATTCTCAGAGTGGATTCCAGGGACTGTGGTTTCCTTTAAGAAGGTCTAAACTTTTTTGTTTTTGTTTTCTTTTCCTTTTTTGACCCATACAAGTCTGTAACCCTGGCAGTTATTAAATGAATGGGTCCATTTGTACCGTCAGAGACTAAGTTAAGGAGAGACCTTGAAATATAAAAGTTTGATAACCTGCAGAAGTTTCAGATTCAGAAACACAACATTAACACTTTATAAAATTTGACATTGTCAGATATTTTGTTCGGATGTTTTCATATCCATGCTACTTGAAGCAGTTTTGTATTTTTTTTGTATACCTTGCGTAATATATTGTGAACTTTTTGCAGCCACACTTTAAACACTTTAAAGGGTTCTATGTTTACATTTGGTGTTTTGAAACCAATATTTATTTTAAGAGTTGTTTGCTGCTAATATTATTATTGAAAAGTGTTTTCAATATTTTTCTAAATAAAAGAAGTCTTGTTTAGTGACGTAACTTGTTGAATATATCATTTAAACTACATTTCCACGTGGCAATTTTATATAAACTATGCATCAATTGAATTTACAAAAAAAGTACTATATCGTGATGTATATCGTATCGGGATATAAAGTGAGCTATATCGGGATATAACCAAAATCTCATATCGTGCAGCCCTAAGAGACAGAGAAGGCCAGTATGGGGCTAACAGGGTGCTAGCATTAGCCTGATGTCAGCAGTGACAGTTGCTAGCTGGGGTGTCACAGGTACTCATAGGCGGGCGCTCAGCCCAGAGCCCACAACGTTAATATGGTGTTGACAGGTGGACCTTATGAGAGGCAGTGAAACTTACCCACACGGGTCCAACAAGTGGACCCGCTGCAGTTATCAAGCTTCAGTGTGCAAGTGGTGGGTAGATTTGCACCTGTGTCCCGTTCGCATCCAGGGATAAAAGCAACCGTTTATGCTAGCCGTCGTGTCGAGAACAAGCAGGAGGAGACATCCAGACGTCCGATGTCTTTAAGCCATCATCCGGATAAAAGATGTGGTTAAAAACAATCAGGATCCAACAAATAAGACATAAAAATATGGTTTAAAAGCGAATAAGAAGTCAAGAGCGGACACAACTACAGGCAGTGGAAGTCGTCTCTGCCAAAAGAGGAGAGAGATCTGAGATGGACTGATCGATCAATAAACTCTGATCATGTTAATGATCCACTGATCAATCAATAAACTCTGATTTAGTTTTTGATCGGCTGATTTTTCTGGTCGTATTTGGATGTTTTTTTTCTGTAACGGTTCGGATCCTCGGATGCTTCTGGTTCTGGTGTGATGATCGCTCTCTCTGCTCTTTGTGGGTGCACTTGTGAATAAAAATAAACACTATAATAATAATAATAATATCAATAACAACAATAATCATGAACTCTGGTCTGAACAGTTGGACATCCAACAACGTTCAGGTTGAAACAAACACGGCGAACGATCAATCCACGAGGAGAGCTTCGACGCCGACACATGACCCGACCCTCAATCAGCTGATCTGTGACCGAACTTCCTGTCAGTCATGCCAAATGTAGTCAGAGCCGGATTAACCATGAGGCATAGGGAGGCTGAAGCCTCAGGGCGTTTGGCTATGGGGGGCCACTCAGCCCGAGCAGAAGCCGCTATGATGCTGGTGAGCTGCGCCCGGTGTGAGGAGGATTAGGCTGTATTGGGACAGAGGAAAAAGTGCCTAGAAAGTCAAAACCTCTGACATTTATCAGTCCCTACAGAATATGAAAAGAAAGATCAAAACACAAATGCAGACAAATGTAGAACAAATATAAAATAATAAAATTCTCAAATCTCAGTATAGCAATCCTTTAAACAAAACAAATTGCATAACCATAACAGGCCTTCATATCATGTCTTGCACTTTTATTTATAATGCTTGCTATATACTTATAATTTAAAATGCCTGAGGTTTTCTACAGTAAAAAAGTGAACTGTACACCAGCCTCTGTGCTTTCCTTGAAGACTTTTTTCACTACCTCTTGTTGAATTGAGTTCAGACACAGTTGTATTAACCCAGTGGTTTGGCTAGAGGTGGTGGCTAGTGGAACTGTTAAATAACCACCCATAACTGCAGTAATTTCCACAAAATGACCAATAAAAACTGCCAATTTTTTCCGCGCGCGGGACAGAGGGGGGCCATTAGGTTTGCTTAGCCTCAGGGGTCACAGAAGGTTTAATCCGGGCCTGAATGTAGTGGTCAGATCCTAGACTGATGCACTGCCTCGTTTACGCTCCCTTTTTGATGACTCTCCAAGAGTAGGGGTTGTCTTCAGGGAGAAAAGGTTTGGTCCTTTACCATCAACAACATCAATGAGGTTGAGGTTTCTTCATCTCTTCGGGACACTCACCAAATATGAGGGTCTATTCAAAAAGTCCTTTTTGGTTTGTAAAGTTCCTGTTAGAGAGAAACAACCCAGAAGCCTGAGATCAATCTCAGAGCCTCATAGTTTAAGTTTTCAGAGCGTGGTTTTAACTAATATGGTATGCTATTTATCAGGTCTGCTCGGTAAATTGTGCTCAGTGAGTGATTCATTCACTGAACATTTAGAAGACTGCACACTGAACATGCACTGTTCCCTTGCAAACCGCTGCAATGGTAGGATGCTGTGGGTTTTATGCACCATTTGTTACTTGCTGTGTCCTTGTGCAAGTTGTTGTCGTGGTAATTTAGCAGTTAAAAAAAAAGAAGTCAGTTTTGGCCAACAAAAATTATTCCAGAGAGTGCAGTTCAATGCGTGACTCATTTCCCAAGTGATTCAGGCATTGGTGCATGCAGTCCCTTGTTCGCCAACTGCTGGCCTGGTAATGCTGTTTCTCACTTTAGCTCACCTAAAGAGAGAAATGAATGAATGAATGAATGAAGTGATTTAGTCCAGTACGTTCACTTAACAGATTTGGTTCTTTTGAACGAATCGTTCGAGCACCACACAACACTAATCCAGAGCTAACAGCTCCAGTCCTTTACTGACAGTTTTTGTTAGTACTTGTTGTACCCCAAAGTGGCTCTTAAAGTAGTTGCCACCTCACCAACTTTTCTTTGAAAATGTGTCTGCACAAAACACATTATAACCAGGACTTGAAATATCATTGTCCTGCACAGATTTTGTAAGCCATGTCTCTGATAGCACAACAATATCAGCATTTGTTGATTCATGCCAGATACTGATCATGTCCAAGTTAGAGCAGACACAAAAGGAGATGTGGTGCACCAGCACTGCACAGCTACAATGCACAAACGTCTCCTCCCCCACCCCACCAGCCAGGTAACAAACAGTGACGAAGCGCCCTGAGAGTGGCAGCAAGTCACAGCAACTCTTCACAGTGCTTACGTTTTTGCCTTTTTATTGTTGTTTTTTGCACCTTATTTGTCTTTCTTTTTAATTAGCATTGTTGTTTTTGCATATTCCAACCATGGATGTGCATTTCATGACTCTAGCATTTTTTTTTCTTCTAATTTTTGGAGTTTTTAATTCTGCTTCTGGTGACCTGTTCAGCGGCTCTATTTTTTACAACCATGAACAGCTGTTGGCTGAGAAACCCGACATCCCTTCCAAGCTCTGCAGGAGAAGAGGATGCAGAGCTGGAGTTCAGCATCAGGCAAAGCGGAGACGTTTTAAGCTAACTGTCCCATCCATTATCATGGGAAACGTGAGGTCTCTCCCCAACAAGATGGAAGAGCTCACAGCGCTGACTCGGCTGCAGTGGGAGTACCGGGAGTGCAGCCTCATGATGTTCACAGAGTCATGGCTAAACGAACTTACTCCGGACCCGCTCGTAACTTTGGACGGATTTCATCTCGTCAGAGCGTACTGGAGCGTGAGGTAGAGTGGTAAGAAGAAAGGAGGTGGGATAGCAGTGTATGTGAATGAGAGCTGGCGTAATGCTGGGCACGTCAGTGTTAAAGAGCAGCTCTGCACTAAGGACATTGTCTGTGTCCGAAATGGCATACTGCCTGCTGTCTACTTACCTACTCAAGCAGTACATACTGCATACTGCATACTCAAAGATGATTTGAGTATGCCTGGTCATTTACACACATACGTACTAAATACCCCAGAATGCATTTCGTGCTGGCAGGAAGCAGCACCAGGAAAATTTAAATAGTCCTACTACAAGCTTCAAAAATGACTGCATTATGGACAAACTGTATAAATTCAATCAGTCATAATATTTTTTCAAGCGAGAAAGTAAGTGTTTACAACACGATTATGAGCCCAGTTGTTTGAATAGTGGCTGTTTGTAAATTTGTCTTGGCGTTTTCAGAGACCAAAGCGTCCGCTTGGTGGGTGTTTGCGTCTACGTACCGTAAAAACCGGGCAGCAGCAGCTCCCCCTTCACGTTTCCAAATGATTGCAAAGTGTTTTCATAATCAACAGCTACGCGACACACACTAAGCAGCAGTGGATTAATAAAAATTACACAAACACCTGTGTATCCATGGTGATAATGCTATACACCACCTGCGTGCCACGATATGGTCCACCGGGTCAGCAGCAACATCCAGCAAGTTTTCCGGAGATTCATCCGTTTGCCCAACAGGGCTAAGTTGGAGGAAAATGGGGCTGGGTTCCAGCAGTTGGCTGGTCACCTAGCTTTCTGCAAAGTGGCAGGAAGCATAGACGGATGTCATGTCCGCATTGTGCCCCCTGGACAGTTTGGAGCAGACTTTTTTAACTGTTCCACTCTGTCCAGTTTCAGGCCATTGTGGACCACAAAGGACGCTTCCTGGATGTGCACGTCAGTTTCCCTGGCTCCGTGCACGATTCGCGGGTCCTCAGGTGCAGCCCTGTGTATGTGCACCAGCTGTACCCTCCTCAAGAATGGTGCCTATTAGGGGATGGGGGTTATCCCTGCATTTCTGAACCACTCACCCTTATCCCCCGATTCAGGGAGCCTTTGAGGAATCCCACCCAAGAGAGGTTCAATGCCAGGCATTCTCGGGCCAGGTGTGTGGTGGAGAGGGCATTTGGAATACTGAAAACCAGGTGGCGCTCCATATTTCTCAAGGCCCTGGAGGTGAAGGTCGACTTCGTTTCGGAGGTCATTGTGGACTGCCTTTTCCTCCACAGCCTCTGCCTCAGGCACGGGGACATTTTGGAGCCAGAGGACGGTAAAGAGGTTGATGTGGATGATAACTGTCTGGTGGCAGCTCATGACCCAGCCCAACAGACTGGTGACGCCTTCAGGGATCGGATGGCAGCAGCAATATCAGTTCCTGAGGAGCAGATCCCTGCACTGAGGGAGCATGATTATTAATGAGTGTTGTAATAATAGTCATTGTGAATAGTAAATGTTATTGTTAATTATATTGTAGTTGTGAATAGTTAGTATTATGGTATATAGTATTATACTTACTTTATTATAGTTATTATATTATTTATAGTTATACTAATATTATACTAATTATACTATTCTACTATTACACTTATACTTAGTATTATACTTATGGTACTTATGGTTATACTTAGGGTTAGTATTATACTTACCTATCTATAGTAAGAAAGTGGTCTCTTGCATGTGAAAAGATGGATGTGGGGCTATTTTTTCCCAAAAGAAGCATGTTTACACTAATCATAGGTATGTGGGTGATTACATAACTGCTTTGAAATAAATACTATGCCATTCCTGCCTCTATTCCTTTATGTATCGTGCAAATATGTTTAGATTAGTCACGGAACAAGAACAATCTTTTAATTTTATAACTATAACAAAACCATGAAGCAACAAACTAAAACATTACAAAGAATAGGTGATCAAGTTAATAGAACAATTTGTCAACTTAAAACTTGGTCTGTAAAAAAAAATATCAAAATCAAATGAACAAATTATTTACAATTAAACAGTCTTTCAATCATATCCATCCATCTTTCTTCTCTTGCTCTACTCTTCCTCTCTCTTTCCTCTCTCTCTCTCCTTTTTTCCATTGCTCTTCAATCCATCCACTCTCTCAACTCCCGCTCGCTTCTGTCTGTGCTCCTTCTTTCTTCTTCTCTCCACTCTTGCTCTCTTCTTACCCATCTTTCCTCCATCTCTCTCTTTTGTAGCGGTTGAAATGAGCCTCACACGGTCGCACCAAAATATATGTAGCGATTTTAAATGAGTCTCACAAGGCCGCACCAAAATACTGTAGCGATTGGAATTTATAATAAATGTCTGAAGATTAATAATCTCAAATTATGACATTTATGCACTTGTTGAAAGGGGCACCACCCACCCTTAATGGTGGGAAAATAAAGAAAACAAAAGTTTAATTCAGAAATCAAACATCAAGTCAGTTTTAATTAATCAGTCTCATATCTTAAGTCGAAATTCTAATTTCAGGGACTCCACTTCTGGAAGAACACTAACAGTCAAGAACTTAGAAAAATAATGATCTGTTTATTACAGAATAAATGATGGTACAACACACATGCAATAAATGATGATAAGATAATGAGGATAAAATAATAATAGGTGAATAAATAAAGATTCTGAGTCAGGCTAGGAGCACTAAAGTTAATGATAGTGAGTGAATATGCGCTAACATATTAACCTACACTAACTTTGGTGTCGAGATGAACTCGGATGTGGATTTGGAGGAATCTAAGATTACCAGAATAAGAGGATATCTGAGCTATGAACGCAGGAGACAGCACCAGCCCTCTTTGGAGCTCTGGAGGTTTGCATACTTAAGTGAGACTGGTCCTTGGAGAAGATGGAGCAGGTTCCGAAGGTCCGGGGCTACTGGCGGTTCGAGCGGTTCAGCTCAGAAGACGACTGAAGTCAGTCGAAGGATGAGCCAGGAGTTGCAGCACTCGGGCCCGAAGCAAAGCCAGCGCCTGTGGATCCTGTGGATGCTCGTTTGGGTACTTCTTTGGTCTCACTCAAAAACTCTGGCACAGAGGATGACCTGGGCCTGCTGGGTTGCGTTCAGAGGTGACTTTGAAATCACGCAGATAACTCAGAAAAACGAGACTCGAGCAGAGAAAACTTTCAAAAATGGCTTTGCGAATTTAAAGAAAAATCAATCAAAGGCTTAATCTTGAATTGCTATGCGCACAAAAAGTTGAAGTTTCAAAACTTGAACTAAGACGATGTTAAAGAAAAATCAACGTGAATCAACACGTGGCGTAAAACTTAGAAGACTAAGAAAAAGTTCTAAGAGAAAACAAAGAAACGCACCACAGAAGGGTGTGGGCAGAAGAGAAGGGGCATAAGAGCCGGGGACAAGAGTAGAAGGGATAAGCGTGAACAAGAGCAGAAGCAGAAGAGAGTGAGCAACCCCACTTCACTGGTTTTATCTTCTCACACTGGGAGTGTCTCCGGCCTGTGTGTGTGAGGAGACAGAGGAGGAGGGTCGTGTGGTCTCCAAGCAGAGATGAACTCGGATCTCTGATTATTTGATCTAACTTATACTTTTGGCTGGTAAAAGAGTCAGATCTGATACTCACTCACTATGATTAATATCATTGAATGCTTGGTTTCATGATAAATAATTTGACACTAAACACATATGAATGAAGTGTAGGATCACATCAAACATTCTCATTATGTTTTAAGTATCACATTGAACATGCTAAATTACTCTGAAATGAAACAGATAGTAACACATGGAAACTGTGAACAACAAAAGAGTAAACACATGTGAATGAACTTCATCATGATTAATAATGGATTCTAAATACTCACATTAAGGTTATTCAATGACATTATAACCACCTAATGGTTAAAAATACTAAATAAACAACTACAATATAAACCAAACATTTCTAAACTGTTTCTGTTACCTAGAGTTAAGTTATGATTCATAGTCGATAAATTTAACTCTTAAAAGTTCATGAAACAGTCTGAAAAGCTGTTGGTCTAAAGAAACTAAAGAGCAATAACTCGGCTTCTGGAGCACATAGAAAAACGGGAAACATCTCATTTTAACACAAATTTCATGATTAGACAGATTAGTACATTGCTGAATGCATAAGATGTCAGGATCAGTCATTTGTATTCTTTCACCAAAGGAATGCAGTCTTTATCAGTGTATGGTCGAGCAGGGTTTTACGACCGAGGTCTGGAGGTCAGTGTCCCCCCTTATCCTGGGGTCCGTATGTTCACACACTTTAAGAAGGTAAATCTCAAATGGGAGATCTGGGTTGAGACGTTAATGTTTATTTAGATGGTCAGTGATGGAGTCAGTTTAAAAGGTAATAAAAACTCTGTCTCTGTTCTCCGAATTGACCAATCGTGAAGAGTCAGAAGTTTGGTCAACCTCCGGTTGGGTCACTTAGGCAACCTGAAAGTGTAAACATGTCTGGAAAGATTTATATCCTGTGTCCTGGGACCAGATAAGGAAACTTTCCTGTGAGGAATGTGTGGGTTTCACATCCAGGGTTGTCTTGATTGCTACACTTTTCCTGCCTCTCCCTCTCCTCTGCCCGACATTCCCATTCCTCTGTCTGCTGCAACCTTTCATCCTCCCTCTCCTCAAAGCCTTTCAACCATTCCTCGAACCACTCTCTGCTCCTTGAGTCACTTGTTCTCCTCCCTCTCACAAAAGGAGACTCAGAAGTTGGATTTGGAGGAGAGGCCACTGCTGTTGGTGTCATGGATGAGGTGATGAGGTTGGGCGGTGATATGGTGGGACGGTCCCTCATCACGTCATCCATGATATTAAACCATTTCCAGTTTGCAGCAGTGGCCTCTCCTCCCTCTGTGCTTACCCCCGTTGGTGGTGCCTTGAGAACCTGGCAAATGACACAGACACAAATATAATCTGATAACATGGGTCCCTTTCACACTGACTGTTTGAGCTCTGACATAGCCAGATTATATAGCAAAACTTAAAAACATAAGCATTCACTGTATTTGTGCAAATCATAAATACTGAAGTGTTTGTCATACCTCCACCTACCTTATATTTCTGTTTCAGGTTTTCCCATTTTTTGGGGGAAAACTTGGGTCCACCTGACCCTCCAGCCCATGCTCCTTGATGAAAGCCCTAAACAAGGATGACAAACAAGGGGCAATCAAAAGGGCATCTGAACGTGGCAAGTGCCTACAAGCCACTGTCAGAACAATGTTCACATTTACCATTTACGTACAGAGTTACCATAATGTGTCCTCAAGTTCTCCATATTCATATTATTTCTGCATTAGGCAGTAGCTTTTTCCCCATTTTGTAATCAACCCATTGCAACTCTTGTATTATGTTTTGTCGAGTGGTGGGGGGCGTTTGTGGCTGGTAGAATGCTGCTCTGATAACAACAAAGCTAGAGGCCGACCTGGCCAACATTTGTGTTCCGGTCGGCTCCAGTTGAAGCGTGTGTTTACAATAAATAAATCCACGACGCAACGGTACATGAACACAAATTTCTTACTGAAAACCCTTTAGGGCGGCGTTCCTTCTGCCCGTTATGTCCTCGCCACCAGATCAGCCGCTCAGTGTCCTCATCTGTCCCTGAAGGAAAACACAGTAGTATTTAAACTAGACATCGCTGGTGTTATGACTGTGGTCATAATTTGTGGACTGTCTGCTGTGTGTGTGTGTGCCCTGTGTTTTCTTGTGTCAATCTTATATGCAAATAGGTGTGTGCCACAGCAACGCTGTCATTGGTGGGTTGGTCTACGTCCTGGATGGTGATTGGCTGAGACCAACTATATGAGGAACCAAGATGGCAGCCACCATGTGCAGGGCAGAGGCCAGGCGTTCCTCATCCTCCTCCTCTCCCAACTGGCCACCCTATTTTGCAGCTTTAAGACTATGGTGTATTGTGTTGTGTTTTCCTTCAGTAGTAGGGGTGGACTGCCAGTTTTGTTAGCCTTATGTTCTCCTGTGTATTTTAGTTAGGGAGGTAAGTCTTTTGTCATTTGTTTCCTTTGTTTTGGTTAGGGAAGGACTTACTCCACAGACAGGATTATTTTTGGTTGTTGTTTTGGCCTTGGTCCACCCTGAAGCCTAGTCATTCAGCCTTAGTTCTTTTGTCTATCTTTTGTTATTTACTGATTTATGTAAATAAATCTGTGTTTTAAATTGAACTGAAATCTCGGTTGTTGTGGCTACTTGGGACTTGGGGATGATGAGGCCTTCTCATGTTGTGCCCTAGGCACCCCTAGACTGGGGCGTAACACTGGTCCACATTACAGTTCAGTTGTGGCTATAACTGCATAAGCTAATGCACTAACCAATTGGCAGGCTGACTGGTCGTCAAGCAGCGCATAAACTCAAACATCAATACAACTATTATCTATTCTATTCTAACACATAAATGAACATTTTTACATAATATATTTGGAGGAAGATATTTAGTAATAATAACCTTATTACTACATTTTGGCCTCAAGTGAACCCATCATGACATCGAAGTTAGGTACCATAAAGTATACACATGTTCACCAGAGTGTTCTCATCATCATTTAACTGTATTAATTTATTGTGGTATATAAAGTGATATTATAACTCTTTGATAACAAAGTAATGAGTAATCACCAAATAACTGTTTTATGAACAATCGCTCATAAAGTGAGTGGTGATGTGGCATTACCACAGGACAGTTTTTCACCTTAACTGGGCTCAGGCCTACAGCTCATAAAAGGCACCAGCGTTCCTCAACCATGTCTCCAAATGGTTTCCTCTTAACATGGAACAGTTCACAGAATGGTTGTCAGGTATGATTTCTGCAAATGCAGTGATTTCTACCATGGAATCATGTTTTTTTTTTTTTTTTTTTTTTTTGGTGTAATGTTGCCTGGAGTCAAAAGCTCAAGCCTTGTTATTTTGCGCAGAGGTTTCTACAAATTCTTTGAATTTTTAACGATATTGAATTCTGTAGATGATGAAATCCCCAAATTCTTTCCATTTTAAACTGAAGAACATTGTTCTGAAACTGTTCAAAACACAGATCTGTTGATTTTTAAATTGCCTACATGTAGTTTTTTACAGGGACTATCATATTTCAACACCGGGACCTTTTCCTCATCAGCCCACACTGCATGTTGCCTCACTGCCCCATACCTGCAAAAACACTGTTCATATCTAATATTAAGCAGCCCTCCTGTACCCTTACATTGGGTATTTCTGCTCATTCTCTACTGTTGGTTATATAACATTTTTAATCCTGTCCAAAAGCAAGATTTCATTTCACTGAATAGTTATTTTCAACCCACACATTCTGTCTCTTGACTTCAACCCTAAATGAATCATCCTCTTAGAATTATAAACCTATTATTACAAATAATTGCCTACTTTTGCAGTTACTCAAATCCTTTATCTTTCAGTCTTAGGTCTTAGATTCTACATCAGTTCCCTCAAATGAACACTTTGGGGAACCCAGGATATTATCTCTCCTCTTTTCCTCAATCTTGACACTTTGACTGTTCAAACTGGAAGATCCTGTGATGAGAGGCAGGTCCCAGATATAAAAGCTGAACTCAAAAGTCCTGTTTGTAGATGTGCAAGTAACCCACATGGATTAGGACAGGGAAAAACGTATTTAATTTTTATTTCATTTATTATCATGTACATGGAAACACCTTTGAAATAATAGTTTGAGACAGCTGAATGTTTTTTTTTCTTTTATATGATGTTGACAGAGGAATATTTTATGATCTCTGTATGTAACAGAGCAAATGTATTGTGTAGTGTGGTCATGATGTGGGGAAGGGGTATCACATAATGTGCATGGGTACTCCAGAGTGTTCACTAAATATAATTGCACTAAGTTATTGTGGGGCGTAAATGTATTTTGCTTAACAAAGTGAAAAGTAATGCATAAATAGCTGTGACTTGTAGAACTTTGAACAGTCATGTCCATAGCCATATCATTTAATAACCAAACTATTTACTGCTGACGTATTTTATGATATTAGTTCAAAGTTCCATGAATATTTTTTATGATAGATAATAACAATCACAGTACTTAACATAGCAGTCTTTGCCATCATTTTAAGATTTATGTGTGTGAAATGTGATTGAAAGGGTGAAATTCACAAGTTGTGTGTCAGTATTTAAAATGGTGGGGTGAGATGCCTCCTCCTTTTGTTTTATTTTGGTTGGACTTCCTGTGTTTCTTTGTTTGCCTGGTCTGGCTTGACTCTCTTCCAGAGCTCCCTTCCGACCCCCTGTCGCTGAGGCTGAGTGAGACTCCACACCTGCTCTACATCTGCAATCAAGGCACTTTAAGAAGTCAGCAGCCCTCAGTCTCAGTGCCTGAGTATTGTTTTCACTCCCAAGTGGTACAGACGTGTCTCCTGGCCTTCCTCAGATAATTACTTGCGACTTTTCACTCCCCGTGATCCCTTGTATCAGTGTTGTTTTCGTCAACCATGACGTCATCGTCAACGAAAACAAAACTGCACGCGTGAGCACGTGCGCCTGCGTGTGTGTGTGTCTGTGTGTGTCAACGAAAACAACCAGTGTTGTTCTCGTTGACGAAAATATTTCCCTTTTTGACGCTGACGAAAATATTTGACGAAATATGACGAAAACCACACTGCCTTGTATGTCTTCTCACCAGTGGCGATTGCTCTAAGACTGCAAGGGAAGCTCAGCTTCCCTTAAAATGTCACCCCCCCAAAAAAAAGAAAAAGTGGTGAAATACATACTGCTGTGTGTACATTTCATTAACTTAATACGCGCTAGAAAGCCTTCATCTTTTGTTCAGAATCAGCTTCTTATCACACTGTGATAAGAAGTTGATAATCACAGGTAACCGGCATAACTTTGTTCTCATTCATCCTCGCAGCGCCTCAGCGCTTCACACAGCCGGACGCTCAGCGTCTGCTGACTTCAATGTGGAAGCTCAAAGTGGGTTGTTCCAGCAGTGAAACTAGACGCTCATTGGATAAATACTGGGCTTTGTCCTGCCCATCGGACGCTAAGCATCTCTGGAGTTCTATGACGAGAGGGCGGTCCCAACTTTCTGGCGGACGCTGAGCTTCTGCATCCATGATTGGATGAGCGAAATCCTTTTTTGATTGACAGCTAAATAAGCGAATCAGTGACCTTGAAGAATAAAACATCTACCAGAGCATTTTACAAGTTATTCATTCCGTTGTTCTTAACTGCTCCAGAGACTTTACTGATCCTCAGCGACTTTTGTCTTTGTTAAAAACGACTGCCATTGTGTTTGGCGACTCTGTTCTGTTACATACAAATAAACAAACACAATTATGATGTAGGCCAGAAAAATGAGCTTCCCCTCCTTGAAAGACCAGCAGCCGCCACTGCCTCTCACCTCCTTCTCTGTTTTCTCTGCAGTGTCTCCAGCCCACACAACAGCCAGCCAGCAAACCGGACTTTTACCAAGTGCTTCGTTTCCCTGAGTTGGACATTAAACACCTTTAATTTGCTATCTGCCTCTGTGTCTGCTTCTGGGTCCACAAAACCCCGTAAGGTCACAGCTCTCGATAGCAGGGTTATAACCACCATAACCCACTGCACCACTCCTCAGACCCTCATCCTTTCGGGAAACCATCGGGAGGATGTCCAGTTGTTCCTGCTTCCTTCTCCACATTCACCCCTCGTGCATTGGACTCCCGTGGCTGCAGATCCACAATCCCCAGATCAACTGGTCCACAGCTTCAATCTCCGCCTGGAGTCCTCACTGCCACTCTCATTGCCTCCGCTCCGCCCCTGTGCTCAAACACCCGGCTCCCTCTCTCCAATACCTCGGACTCCAGAGTGGGGGCCGTCCTCTCACAGGGGGATCCCGAGACCCAGAAGCTCCATCCTTGCGCCTACTTCTCCCGGAAATTCTCACCCACCAAATAAAAATATGACGTGGGAGACCGTGAGTTGCTGGCTGATGTGTGGGCACTCCAAAAATGGAGACACTGGCTGGAAGGAGCGCAACACCCATTCCTCATCTGGACTGACCACAAGAACCCTCAGTACCTCCTTTCTGCTCAACGCCTCATCTCCAGGATGTTGCTGCCTGCTCCGTCTGTGCTCGAGGTAAAGCCTCCCACCAACCTCCGGCTGGCTTGCTGCGTCCCCTGCCTGTGCCCTCACGCCCCTGGTCTCACATAGCCCTAGATTTCGTTACTGGTCTCCCCCCTTCTGAAGGTAACACAGTCATACTCACCATCACAGACAGGTTTTTCAAGTTTGTGCATTATGTCCCGTTACCCAAGCTCCTGTCTGCTCTAGAAACTGCTAACCTCCTAGTATCTCATGTGTTCCAACCAGAGGTGGGGGAAAGTCCTTATGTTCAAGTCCAAGTCGAGTCTCAAGTCTTGGCTGTCAAGTCTCAAGTCTTGGCTGTCAAGTCTCAAGTCAAGTCCAAGTCCTTACCATTTCTTTCAAGTCAAAAACAAGTCATGTCGAAGCCATAAACCATTTGTGATTTGTAAAGATTTACATAAATCATGAGCATTTTTCACTATTTGCATTTATTGTTAAACAACAAAAAAATAAGATAAACTTCAATAATTGTAAACTTAGACAATGTGCACAAAAATAAGGAAGGCTCAAATTCACTGTTCCAAAACAAAACACAAGATAATCAGATGGCTCTAGCAAAATTAAGCATGAGAACAACTCACTCACATTGTCTCTATCACTTTCTCTTCCAAAATGTGCAAGATATTTTCAACAAAAAAATTCTTACTTATGCTGCATGTTTTGTATGAAGTATATCAAATGTAAGGAAATGAATAGAACATAAGATTTAGGAATAACCTGTGTGTGTGTGTGTGTGTGTGTGTGTGTGTGTGTGTGTGTGTGTGTGTGTATGTGTGTGTGCGCGCGTGCGTGCGTGCGTGCTTGCGTGTCTCAAGGCCCTATAATGCATTGCATTCGCAAAAAAACAGATTGGCCAAACGTTTGTCCGTCATCTTTGCCCGATGGGGCGGCATTATGATTCCACCATGGCTGAAAACTCGCTCTACCGGAGCACTGGAGGCAGGCACTGCCAAAACTCTGGTGGCCAATCGGAACAGTGAAGGAAGACCTTTCATGTGTGCTTCCCAGAATTAGAGCGCATGCTGTCCTTCACATATGTCACGGTGGTGACTTAGTTGTAGTGATGGAGAGGTGCTAAGATCTTTCCTCTGTCTCTTGTGGTATGCAGCAAACAGACCTCCCCCTTCTCCAAGGTCATCTTGGTCCTCTTCAACAAGAGACACAGGCTGCTCAACCTGTGCAGCATCTTGCACTATCAGTTCTGTGAACACATAGACAAGAAACAGAAAAAAGAGCCCTTAATTACTATCATTGTTGATGGGTTTAACAAAGTATTACTGTTTCAGTCAATTACATCAAATTATAAGAAATTAGTTAGAATCTGACTATTTACCTTTCATTCGTTGTTTAACCTCTGCCTTGACGTCAGGACTGACCAGCACATGGTGCTCCACCCACATCAGAGTAAAGGCTGGGTCCAAGGCATGAGCTTTAAGGTAGATTGGGTCTTCAAAGGGGGCAGTGATTCCATCCTGTGCTCTGGCCATTTTAACGTTGATGAAAATTCCAAGAAATCTTTTCTTCAAGGATACGTGGAGACTTCTGACCAGACCTCTCTGGAAACGGACATTAGGCTTCAGCTTCTCAAGGTGGTGATTCAGGGACAGGACAGAGGGAACAACAGAGCTTATTGTGACGACCTTCTCCCCCTGTGTCAAATCTGTTGCTTCTCCAAATGGGTTCAAGATTTCCACGAACTCCTTCAACAGGTTCCACTCCCGTGATGTGAACAACAACTCCCTGTGCCCAGCATTTTCTACAGTGCGAGAGAGCCTTGCATGATCAAAATGCAGAACTGCCTTCACTTGTCTCAGTGTTGAGTTCCATCTTGTATTGACAGCAACAGGGATGCCTCTTTGTTCTCCAAATTCAGCATTAAACACATCTTTGAACCTTGAGATTGTGTGCAGCAATGAGCTTAATTTGGATAACTTTGAGAGAGCAGGAGATGACACCTTTGTTTCTTTTAAACCGTCTCCCACCACAAGCCGAAGTGTGTGTGCAAAACACTGCAAGCGTTGTTTTTTGGCCAAAGCAGCATCTACTGTCTGTTGATCTTCCGGGGTGAGTTCATTCCAGAGCTCTGGGTCATCAATATGATCGTTGTTATAGACTTCATCTTCGTGTTCAGTGGGGAAGCACACCGTGAAAGCTTTCCGCATGTTAGCAGCATTATCACTAATGATGTACTCTACTTTATCTTTTATATCATAGTCATCACAAATAGCCTCAAACTGCTCACAGATTCTCTCAGCTGTGTGTGAGCCAAGAGGTTGGACCTTAGCTGTAGGCTCTCTGCATCTTTCTCGATATGGTGCACAGTTACACCAAGGAACCCCCTCATCCTACGGTCAGACCAAATGTCCACAGTGACTGAGACATGTTCTGTGTTGCTCAATTGAGTTTTCAATTTTGAACGTCTCTCTGCAGCTAAGTCGTCTGTTTTTGATGTCAGTATTCTGCGACTCACTGGGTTGTATTTGCTGTCAACTAATTTCATAAAGTGCCGGAAACTGTGGTGTTCGACAATAGAAAAGGGCAAGTTGCAGTCAATAACTAAATCGGACAGTATTGCATTTGTGATCGCTCTCTGCTGTGGATGAGTGGAGGTGTACCGATGTGCACCGGTGTCCATGAACTTGGAGATTGGAGGCTGTGATGTGCTCGGCGTGGATTTACTCGTGTTGTATGCCATCTGTAAAATGGCATATAAAACAGATGTCATAAAATGCCTTGTAGCCCTACATGAATTGAAGTTGAAACTACTTCTTATTCGTTTATTATTCATTTCATCAATGTTTAATTTACTTGAGTAAAAGTACAAAAGTATTGGTATCGAAATGTACTTAAAGTACCAAAAGTATAATACTCATTATGCAGAATGTCCCATCTCACAAATTTTCAAATTTATAAAAAGCTTTTGAAAATAGTCGATCTACAAGTTCATTGTGAGCTTGTAGATTGACTATTTTCCGAAACAAAGCCGGTTTTATGGAGTTGATTGAAAGCCAACTCCACTAAGTGGGAACACTTTGACCCCCCACCTCACGTCTAAAATACACTTTTTGGACAGAAAAGAAAATATTTCACCGCACTTTTTTGGTTACTCCACAGCGCCCCGACAGATCTGGTTAATTTATTTATTTCTATATTGACCAGATTTTTCTGTCCAAAATGTATTTTAGACTTGAGGTGGGGGGCTCAGAGTGTTCCCACCTAGTAAAGTTGGCTCTCAACTACACAAAACCGTCTTTGTTTGGCTAGTAGCAAGAGTATTTTTTTAATTTTTACTGCAGACAAGAGGCTGTGCTACCGCGGTGCTAGCGAAATGGCTAGAAATTCCCATAGCCGATTGCTAATGTGGATCAACTTACATGTCTTTGTGAGTATCCCTCAAATGTCAATTGAAGTTGGAAGTAGTTCTCATTCCATCGCTGATGTGGGCACCGCATGCATTGCATTGGGCTTTTCTTCTCTTTTTGATGTCATCCACTTCGTAATTATTAAAACCAAAAGTTACGATTGCTGGAGTAGTCATGTCTTCTAGCGTAAAGTTCAGTTCACCAGTCCAGCAGTAGTGACAGAGTGAAGCCGGTTTTATGCCGTAGAATGCACCACTTGCCGCCAATCAACTCATTAGCTTCTTAAAGTGGAAGAAAATGGTCTCATAATTAAGTGGAAATGCTGACACAGCATTTCCACTTATTGTTATTCTACTATTTCTTTATTATTATTATTTTTTTTCTTATTATTATTCTTCCGTACCTTTTTTGGCCCTTTTCAACTCCTTACCACTTTGTGCTATTTTAACCATTCAAACTTTATACTAATGCACTCCTTCAGGACATTATTGCTATTACTTTTCACCTTTGTACCATTTATACTTTTTGCAATATTTCACTTTTTCTGCAAAATTTGTTCCATTACAAATGAATGGAGATACAGCTATAACACCTTCTCACCCTTATAACTTCTGCATACTTTCACCTACAGACCTCATTTTTGCTTTAAAATGTTCAGCAACGTGTCTGCTACAAATGTTGTATTCACTCATTTTTGCTATTTCCTACCGTTTTTGCACAATTTCGCTTGGAGCAACATGAAGTCTTCTGCCTTTTTCAGCCTGACTCACGCTACAGCGTCTGACGTCATCACTAGATGCGGGCGGGGCCTTTTGGATTCACTAGACCAAGCATGATTATTTTGCTGCTGCGGCCGCAATTTTCACTCCACAGCCATAAAAAACACATCAAAATGGAGGTACACTCGTCCTGCTTCTCACAAAATCGGTCTGAAGTCATGAAATTGTACAGCTTGCCCAGGAGGTGAGTACATTCCTTCAGAGCCAGAGATTCTGCACTTGTCATGGGCTGTGTGCTTCGATCGCACACGCACATGCACACGCACGGACTCGGCCCCTCGTGCGCGCGCGGGCACACACACACACACACACACACTGTTTCCATGAGTGCATTACTGTGTCTCTTACTATCTCTCTGTCAGATTCTGCACTTGTCATGGGCTGTGTGCTTCGATCGCACACGCACGGACTTGGCCGCTCGTGCGCGCGCGGGCACACACACATACACACACACTGTTTCCATGAGTGCATTAATGTCTCTCTTTCTCTCTTACTGTCTCTGTCAGATTCTGCACTTGTCATGGGCTGTGTGCTTCGATCACACACGCATATGCACACGCACGGGCTCGGCCGCGCGCGCGCGCGGGCACGCACGCACACACACACACACACACACACACACACACACTGTTTCCATGTGTGCATTACTGTCTCTCTGTCAGTAGAAAATACAGCCCCAATATGAACTTTGTTGTTACAGTTCTTGTCTTTAACTCTTTTAACATACTAACTTCTTCTTTTTCTTCTACTTCTGCTTTTCTTTTCTATACTTTCTACATTTATACAATTAATTTAACTTCAGCTGTTTCATACTTTCTGCATTCAGATGTAGGGCAGTAACTGAAGCAGGGCAATAGATGGTGCTGTTCTGCATTCTCAAGTTACTATGGTTGGATGCTGCAGACTGCAAAAATCTGTTTTACTATTTGTACATTTAATAGGAACATTGTTACACATTGTTTAAAGGCATTTGTTTTTCAAATTCAATTATCCATATCAGTTCTGTTTATTCACATCAATCATATACATTTTTCACTTAGGCTATCAGACAATTTGTACATTAATCCAACTAATTTACCTCCAGCTATACTACAATTCTTCCATTGATACAATTTCTTCTTCTTCTACTCCACCTTTTCTACAGTTTTTCCGTTTATACCTTCCTCCATTTTTTATTGGCAGTTTTGCATTGCTTTTTCAGCTTTCAGCACTCAGCATTTCCACGCATTTTCTGCAAGGAAATGCAATTTTTCTAGTTATGTTCAGTCCTCCCGGTGTTGTCGTTATGAGGGAGGCTAGTGTTTGAGACAGTGTTGCCAAGTTTCATGAGAGAAATAAGGAAACAGACCTCCAGAAACAAGCCAAAAACAAGCGAATTTTTTGCGGGAAATAAGCAGACTTGTCAACACAACACGGTGTTACCAACGGCTGTAATTCCTGACTATTAGTTGATGCAACAATTTTTTAAACAGTTTGGGCCTGCTATTATTAATTAATTAATAATATTAAGTGACTTGAAAAGACTTGACGTGACTTTTCAAGTCACTGGGCTCCAGTCAAGTCTCAAGTCTTTAGCAACCAAGTCCCAAGCAAGTCCAAGTCACTTCTTGATTCATCAAGCAAGTCAAAAACGGGACTCAAGTCCAAGTCGAGTCTCAAGTCGAGTGGTCAAGCCCCCACCTCTGGTTCCAACTACATGGTATCCCCCTTGACATAGTGTCAGATCGTGGTCCCCAGTTCTCCTCCCAGGTCTGGAAAACTTTCTGCCAGGCAGTGGGCATGGTAGCTAGCCTCTCCTCTGGCTACCACCCGCAGACCAACAGCCAGACGGAGCGGGCCAATCAAAACCTCGAGTCAGCTTTGCGGTGTGTGGCGGCCCATCATCCAGCGTCCTGGAGTACTCACCTCTTGTGGATCCAGTATGCCCATAACTCCCTCACTTCCTCGGCCACAGGTATGTCTCCCTTCATGGGCTGTTTTGGATACCAGCCCCCCCTGTTTCCTGAACAGGAGCACCCTGTGGCCATCCCGTCGGTGAGGGAGCATATTGGGCGTCTATGGGAGGTGTGGAGATCCGCCAGGGCTGCACTCACCCGCACGGCCGAACGCAACAAACGCCTGGCTGATGTTCACTGCTCTCCAGCGCCAGACTATCGTCCTGGTCAGATGGTCTGGTTATCGTCCCGTGACCTTCCCCTGCAGACCGAGTCCCCCCCCCCCCCCCGCTTCATTGGTCCCTTCCCTATCCAGAGAATTATCAACCCTTCAGCGGTAAGATTAAAACTTCCTTCATCCCTCAAAATTCACCCCACGTTTCATGTCTCCCTGATAAAGCCTGTCACCTCGTGCACCCTGAGCCCTCCTTCCGTCGCCCCTCCACCCCCCCGGTTGATTGTCGACCACCCTGCCTTCACTGTAAGGCAAATCCTGGACGTGTGGCCTTGGGGACGAGGCTTCCAATACCTCGTGGATTGGGAGGGTTACGGGCCAGAGGAGCGGTCCTGGATCTCCCGCTCTTTCATCCTGGACCATCAACTCCTGGACGACTTCTACGTCGCTCACCCCAACAAACCCGACAGAATGCCAAGCGGTGTTCGCTGAGAGGGGGGTGATGTGGTGAAATGCCTCCTCCTTTTGTTTTATTTTGGTTGGACTTCCTGTGTTTCTTTGTTTGCCTGGTCTGGCTTGACTCTCTTCCAGAGCTCCCTCCCGACCCCCGGTCACTGAGGCTGAGTGAGACTCCACACCTGCTCTACATCTGCAATCAAGGCACTTTTAGAAGTCAGCAGCCCTCAGTCTCAGTGCCTGAGTATTGTTTTCACTCCCAAGTGGTACAGACGTGTCTCCTGGCCTTCCTCAGATAATTACTTGCGACTTTTTGCTCCCCGTGATCCCTTGTATGTCTTCTCACCTACTTCTCTGTTTTCTCCACAGTGTCTCCAGCCCACGCAACAGCCAGCCAGCAAAACAGACTTTTTCCTCGTGCTTTGTTTCCCTGAGTTGGACATTAAACACCTTTAAATTGCTATCTGCCTCTGTGTCTGCTTCTGGGTCCACAAAATACACTGCACGCCACAAATGGTCTGAAAATTGAAAACTGACACAGAGATGCAGTTCTATTCTACCGCTCTATTTTGGCTCAAAATACAAACATTGCAGTAAAAGTGAGGGGGTCCAATACTGCTATGCATGCATAGAACGCAACTGCTCTCCCCATGCATGCAGGGAGAGATCATCCAAACTTCATTTAAAGAGGCCCACCTGCCCAGCCAGGTTCTGAACCAGGAAACAACTCATTGTGAGCTGACAAACCACTGCACCACCACCATCTGGCTGCCACTGTAGCTTTCTTTTCAAAATATCTTGGGACTTTAAGTTCAATAACCGGGAGAGGTATAAACTGTAACAAACAGTCAGGTCTGCAGAAAGACTTATCAGAGCTGACCTCCCCGTAATTAGCCCGTGCATGTCCCCTAGCTTACAGAGGACTTATTCATGTCTCCTCTACTAGATGATCAAAATACTACTTAACACACAACACAAAAACATTTTTTCTTCTTAGGCTGTCATAATGATTTAGTTAATCCAGCCTGATTCACACTGACAACGACTGAGTATTTGTTTTCCTCTTGTGACTATTGTGTTGTACCTTTGGATTAAAACATAAATATATCACCATAAAATATCACCATTGAGGCTGTGATGTTGTACTAAACATCAGCACTGTGATCATCCAGCATGCAGCATGTATCCTCCTACCAAATCACAGCCATGTTGACAATCAGGGTGACATCACTTCCCTCTTTTGTGTAAATGCTTTTGCTGCTAAACCTGTGTAATCAGGCCGATTGTGGTCTTGATAGAGAAAGTGTTTTCTAATTTTTGTGGAAGTTATGTGTGAAAATGTGACATTGGCACATGTGACAAGTCTTTAAAACAAACCGTTAAAAGGGAAAAAATACTTCTGCTTCCCTTTTAGTGTTAAATATTTACCATAATTCTCATGGCCACACTTTACATGACTTCACACTGTTGATGGGTTCTTATCAAGTTTTATTATCCTATTTATTATTTACAAGATTCGTAGCTCTAACAGACTAGGTAATTATTAAAAAGAACTGTAAATCAGAAGTCAAAGCGTTATCACTGAGTATAAAAGGGAGAGGCTGCTTTGGGGAGAGGTGCTGAGGCATATACTTATCTTACGTGGATTGAAAAATGCAATTTGCAAGTATGCATCTATTTAACAAAGGTGAGTTTATAAATGCTTCTGTTTGGTCACTTTTCTTTAAAACATGCTGGTTCTGGCAACAGTAGGAACTCAGATAGTGTAGCTCCTGTACACACAACAGAGTATTAATGTTGTATGACACATCGAGGCTTTTGGTGCTCTGTGGTAAATTTGAATTCAAACTTGTGTGATGTGCTGAAAATGTATGGGTGGTTTAAACTTTGTGGGGTATGTAAAATATATGTGCATTAATGCCTTGTCACTTTTTAATTTCAGTGAGGAGCTATCAATAATCTGGAACAACTGTGGGTTCTCTATAACCACAACGGAAATGGAAGTAAACGCTTTGTACAACATCACTAGTAAAACTAGAATTCTGGTTTGTTTTATAAATATATACTGAATAATGAGTGGATGAATTACATGGCATTTTATTGTCAATGTCAAGGAAGCTGAAGGACCTCAACACTCACCGGACTCTGACAGCAAATGTGAGGGTCACCAGAGTGATGCAGAAGGTTAAGGCTGGTTTTATGAACAGTATGTTTGTCACAGTTGACAGCAGTGAGCTGTGTTAGCTGTTAATGTTTATTTGCAGGCACCACAGGTTTGCTCTTTACAATACAATACTGTGGTTAGACGCCTCCTCCATTTGTTTTATTTTGGTTGGACTTCCTGTTTTTCTTCGTTTTCCTGGTTTGGCTTGACTCTTTTCCAGAGCTTCCTCCCCTCCCCCGGTCACTGAGGCTGAGTGAAACTACACACCTGCTCTACATCTACAATCAAGGCACTTTAAGAAGCCAGCAGCCCTCAGTCTCAGTGCCTGAGTATTGTCTTCACGCCTAAGTGGTACAGACGCGTCTCCTGGTAGCCTCCTTTTGGAATAAGTACTCGTGACTCTGCTCCTCGTGATTTTTTGTATGTCTACTCACTTCCGTCTCCTCTGTCTTCCCCGCAGTGTCTCCAGCCCACATGACAGCCAGCCAGCCTACCGGACTACCTCTTTTGCGTTTAACCTGAGTTTGGACATTAAAATTTCATCTTAAGTTGATATACCTCTGTGTTTGCTTCTGGGTCCTCAAAACACACCACCTCGCACACAATATCAGGTTAGCCACCAATAAACTGCAAAGTTAACGATGTTGTGTTAATACAGAATGATTCTGTATAGTTTTTTTTTTTTCTCTGTAACCAAGGCTGTGACCATCTTTAATGACACAAAATCCAAACTCATGCAATTTGTCCAACTTTTAAAAATCACTGCTTTCTAACTACATATTAGCCAGTCACTGGCTAATATGCAGTTAGAACTGATGTTATGTCTGAGCTCAATGACTTGGTGTATCCTAACAACAAGATACTGGTAGTCACAGTTCTTGGAGTTCAAAGTACAGGGAAGTCTACACTCCTCAACATCATGTTTGGAGTTCGCAGTCAGCAGCAGTCGATGCACTCGAGGTGCTTTCATGTTGCTCATCAAAGTAAATTGAGCATGACAATGAGCTTGCAACTCTTGTGGTGGGGTTAAGTGATATGACTATTGTCAATATTGCAGGAAGTGGGTAAAAAACCTGTGTCCCTTTGTTCATCAGAATGTGGCTGATAGATCAGCCCCCACCACGAGAAAGAGAACTGCTGCTGGAGCACCTAAATGAGATGACTCGAGCAGCAACCAAAATAGAAAAAAGGGAGCGTACAAGAGCTTCACTAATGTGATAAAATACAGTCCAGAGACTGGGACTGTGTACGTACCAGGACTCTGGACAGGAATCCACCAATGGCACCGGTGAATGCAGGGTACAGCAAGGCTGTGAATGAGCTCAAGAAGAGCATCCTTGAAATTCTGGGAAAATGTGAGACTTCTGCTTATAACATCTTGGAGTTTACAGAATGGATAACAAGCCTGTGGAGAGCTGTTAAGCATGAAACCTTCATCTTCAGCTTCAGAAACAGCCTGGTGGCTGATGCATACATGAAGCTCTGCACAGAATGGGAATTCAAAAAGGAAATGTACTCATGGACAAAAAAAGCAGAAACAAAAATCTCTCACTTTGGCAGAGGGAAAACTGAAGAGTCCGACTTTGGACAACTTCTTACACATTTAGAAAATGAAGCATACTCAGAGCTGTCAAAATGGGAGGGAAAACTCCTTGACAATCTGGAAAAGTACTTCAAGCAAACAAAGGGGCACGTTGATCTTGTGGAAGCATACAGGGCAGACTTCGCTAAGAGTGTAAAGAGTCTTCATCGAAGTATGAAGAGATCCATCAAAAACCAACTCACAGTTGCAAAAGACATCAGAAGAGGAATGAGTAAAATTGACAGAATCAAAGAGAACCATACAAGAGAATTAGAGGAGATAGTACATGCATTGATTGAAGAATGCCGCAGTAAAAAGGTTGAGATGACAAACGAAAAGGCGGACAAAGAATTTGACAAGATGTGGAATGAAATGGTGGGCGAACTTGACCTTTACAAACAAGAGGCCACAGATGTCTTGGCAAGTATAATCTGTGATCTGAGAGACAATCTAATGCGGAAGGGGGGTCATGTCTGTGAATTGTTGGATAAAAAAAGACTGCAAGATTGTGGGGAGATGTCTTTCAAATATGCAGCTGAGGGAAGATAAAAACAGCTGAAGCACAAAGTCTACAGCTTCTTGAGGATTGAGGATCAGGTCATGGCACTACAGAAATTGGCTGAGCAGATCATTGAGGATTGCACACAATTTGTGAGAAAAAAAGTGGAGAGAAAAACCGACTACCATGACACTTTCATTCAGCAGATCCTACACATGATCGATGAGAAGCTGGAAAACAACAAAGATGTTCGGATAGAGAGAGATTTTGAGGTTTCTCTGAAATAGCACATCTATGTAATTGCATCCAGGTATATTGAGAAAATGCATGAAGATTTTATTCAAATGAACAACCCCTAAAGATGTCTCCACCAAAACAAAGAGAGGTTCAGAGTAAATTTCAAGGATGAGCTTCATGAGCGAGACCAGTGCCAAAAGAAGGCAGAAGATTTCACAGATTACTGTTTGAGACCGGCTGTGGAAGACTTAGTCAAAAGCTCCCTGGGTCTGGATATCACTGATGAAATGATGAGGAGGTTCCAGTTAAGCACACAAATGTTCTTCCAGTATTCAGTCTTACTGGATTTACTTGCAAAAGATAACTTTGAGGACTACTTGAGCTACATCTGCTCATATAGGCAATATGTAAAGAAATGGATCATTGATGAAATGGAGAAGCTCTTGACCAATGAGTCTGTGTCAAAGTTTGAGGAGCAACATCTCAGGTCAAGTATCAAGAGCATAACTGATGCAATGCACAAAGCTCAGGCAAAGAAAGGTATAGGCTGTATTCGGACAGAGGAAAAAGTGCTTAGAAAGTGAATCTCGTTCCACTTCAGTGGGGCAACATAAACTGTGATTCATAAAATAGCTCTATTGATAGTAAGAACTAAAAAAAAATATCTACTCATGCCATCCTGTCGATTTTTAGTAATCAGTGTTTCAGTGTCGAACTATTCTGCGGCATAGTGATACTTGCACACACACAATCGACTATGCAGAGGGGTGAAGCGATTTTTGTCACGTGGACCAATAGGAGCCAAGTCTCGTTGCCATAGTATCAGAAATACACAAACATGGCGACGAGTGCATCTAGCAGCAAGACAAGCGAAGAGGATGAAAAGAAAAGGAAATAAAGAAATCAGCCTTCAAAAGTGTTTCATACATAAAAATGACACAACCTACTGTGTAATAAAAGCAAGACTGTCTTGTACAGATTTATGTCGGTGCCAACCATGTGAGAATGCTTCAAAGGGAACAGAAGAAAGAGCTGTATGGGATGATGACTCTGATGAAAGTGATAGTGATGCGTGATATACGCATCATGTCACCATGTACAATTTGTTTTGTTTAAAGGATTGCTACACTGAGATTTGAGATTTTTATTATTTTTTTAACTCTGTTCTACATTCATTTCATCATTTTTATTAGTCAGCAGATTACTTGTACTTCATCATAATCACATAATTGTCTCATTTTTAAGTTTTCACAAAGATTAAGTAACATCCACAAACTTAATACAGTGGTCTCAAAGTGTCTTATTGCTGCTTACCACTGACTAATAACTAGCTTAAATGCTACAATCCAGAACAAAGTCACCATAGATCCAAGTATATCCACAATATACTGGTTGAAAACCAGAAAAGTATCTCTTAAAAAAAAAAAAAAAAAAAAGTATAATACACACATTTTTGTAATTGAGTGTGTTCATGGGTCTGACAGTGCAAAGTCCTTACACAGTCATGATTTTTTTCTCAGAGGTAGGAACATTAAAAAAATCATTAAGAATAGAACTGTTGACCTTTAACTTTAAGCATGTTACGTGTACAAAAAGGCCAGGACCCAATATTGCGGAGACAAAATCACCAAAAGTTTATTAACAAAAATATCAACAAGAAAAAAAAAACAACATAAAATCACCACACAGGGTCATAGGCTCGGGAGGCACGGACAGCTACTGAAAACGAAGAAAAACAAGTGTCAGGAGAAATTACAGAAAAACTTAAACAACCTCTGACACTAAAAGTGCAGCTCAAATATACCACGTGGGACAAGTAACAAAGGAATATAAAGTCAACTAGAAAGTTCAACAGAAAAACAAAAGACAAACTGAAAATCACTTCAGAAAAATGCAAGGGGAAATACTATAAAGTACAAAGCAACTGAAACAAAGTGACAAACAAACTTACAAAAAGGCACGAAGGCATACTGGAGACTCAAGAGGCACAGAGTGATTCGGCTCGAGAGGAAGACTGAGACAATCATTCGGCAAAGAGCAGGACAGGAATCTGGCTTTTAAAAAGCCAGCTGATGAGCACAATGAAGTGCAGGTGTGTTCCTCGGGTTGATGATCTTTTCTATGACATAAAGGCAAATGAACCGAGGTGCCATCTTCCAAGAGTCTGTCTGGAGGGGGAGGTCCTTAGATGAGAGCCAGACCTGCTGTCCAACACTGTAGGCGGGAGCGGGGATGGTCCGCCAGCCTGCGGTTGTTTTCGGCCGTCCTCCCTAGTACTGCTCTTGCCTCCCGCCAGACTCGTTGGATCCTCCTGAATTGGGCCTGCATGGAGGGAACTGCTGTGTCGGATTCCTGGTTCGGGAACAGTGGAGGCTGGAAGCCAAAGTTAACCATGAAGGGGGACATCCCTGTGGCTGAGCTGATGAGATTGTTGAGTGCATATTCCACCCAAGGAAGATGAGTGGACCAGGATGCAGGTAGGCGGGAAGCAACGCAGCACAGGGCCATCTCCAGATTCTGATTGGCCCGCCCAGTTTGGCCGTTAGACTGTGGGTGATAACCAGATGTGAGACTGACAGCAGCCCCCTGCAAAAAGCCTTCTAAACCTGTGACGTGAACTGGGGCCCTCGGTCCGAAACAATGTCCAGGGGGATCCCATGTAGTCTGAACACATGCGTAATGAGAAGGTTACCTGTCTCCAAGGCGGAGGGAGTTTGGGGAGGGGAACAGAGTGTACTGCCTTGGAGAAATGATTGACTATGGTAAGTATCATGAAATCTTCTGAAATAGGAAGTCCTGTGACGAAGTCGACTGCGATGTGTGACCATGGACGGGAAAGAATCTGTAGGGGGTGCAGGAGTCCCACAAGGGCCTGGTGGGACGACTTGTTGCGGGCACAGACTGAGCAGGCAGCGATGAAGGAGCGGACGTCCGTCACCATGAAGGGCCACCAAAACCATTGCTGCACCAGCATGAGATGGATGTGAAGTGTGCCCCCACACAAGCACAGCAGATCTGGCCGACGGAGGAATGAATAGGCATCCTGCTGGGCAGCCGTCTGGGACAGGTTGATCCTTGAGGGCGTCCTAGGACTCCTGCTCCAATTGCCAGCAGACCACCCCAACCACACATGAGGAAGGAAGGATCGACTCTACTCCACCCCTCCCCCTCACGGGCGAACTGATGGGACAGGGTGTCAGGTTTAACATTCTGGGAGACTGGACGTAAGTTGAGGGTGAAATTGAAAAAAAAACAGAGCGCAGCGGGCTTGTCCAGAGTTCAGTCTTTCAGCTGTGCGCAGGTAGGACAGGTTTTTATGAGTCGTCCAAACAAAAAAGGGCTGGGCCGCCCCCTCCTGCCAGTGTCTCCACTCTTGTAAAGCCAGCACCACCACCAACAACTTCTGGTTACTAACATCATAATTTTGCTCCGCAGGCAAGAGGTGGTGTGAAAAGAACGCGCAGGGATGCAGCTTTTGATCCTAGGGGTGGTGCTGAGAGAGAACGGTCCCCACTCCTGAATCTGACATGTCCACCTCCACCACAGACTGCTGCTAGGGATCTGGGTGAGAGAGGACAGGTGCTTCAGTAAAAAAAAGGCACTTGAGTTTGTCAAAAGCTGACTGAGCAGGAGGTGACCAGCTAAAGGGGAGCTTATTAGAGGTTAGCCTTGCGAGATGCACAGCAATGTGGCTATAGTCATGTATAAATCGCCTGTAGAAATTGGTGAAGCCTAAAAACTGTTGTAGACTGTTTTCAGTTCTCAGGAACTGGCCACCCCCTGACATCTGCAATCTTGGAGGGGTCAGCTCTAAGCTGCCCCTCCTCAGTAATGTACCCAAGGAAAGAGACAGTTGAAACATGAAATTCACATTTCTCGGCTTTGGCAAATAAGTTATTTTCTAACAGTCTTTTGAGTACTGCACGGACATGTTCTACATGTTCTTCCTGAGAACATGAGAAAATCAGAATGTCGTCTAAATAGACGAACACATGTTTGTTTAGCATATCACGTAAGACATCATTTACCAAACATTGAAACACTGCAGGTGCATTAGTTAACCCAAAAAGCATGACCATGTACTCAAAATGTCCCAAATGTGTATTAAACGCCATCTTCCACTCATCCCCTTCCTTTATTCTCACCAAGTGGTAGGCATTGCGTAGGTTCAGCTTCGTGAATATTGTTGCGTCGTGAGGAGGGCTGAATGCAGAGTCAGTCAGAGGCAGGGTGTATTTATTTTTAATTGTTATATCATTCAACCCTGTGTAGGGGCGCAGGGAGCCATTCTTTTTCCCCTACAAAGAAGAAACCTGCCCCTACTGGAGAAGAGGATGGTCTAATGAGTCCAGCAGCTAGAGAGTCATTAATATAGCCTTCCATAGTTTCTCGTTCAGGCTTGGTCAACTTGTACAATTTTTGAGTCGGTAACGGAGCTCCAGGCAGGAGTCATAGGGGCGGTGCGGAGGGAGTGAACAAGCTGAGTCTTTGCTGAAAACGTCTTTTAAATCATGGTATTCTGCCAGGACATTATTCAAGTCTATATTTTCAACAGGGGGCACAGACTGAGAGGAGCGGGCTGGCAATGCTGAGTGAAAGCAATGGGCGTGGCAACAAGTACTCCAACTGCGGATAGTAGAGGTGGACCAGTCAATGTGGGTTATGTAACTTTAACCATGGGAGCCCCAAAATGACTGGAGTGAGTGGAGATGAGATTACAAAGAATTCAATGTGCTCATGATGGTTGCCAGAGAGGGTCAGTTTCAAAGGAACGGTTCTCTGTGTCACTGTGTTGATAAGTCTGCCGTCAATT